TCTATTTTTTTTTGCAGAAATATTTGAGTTCCTTTAGAATGTATTCAAACTTAATTTGTTATCAACTTAAACCATTATAAATATGTTTATATATACATTTCATGGTGACCAGAAACCTACAGTAGATACACAAAGGGTAATGAGAAAGGAGTCTAAGCATACCGCTAAAGTCATCTAATCACATAGAAAGAGAACAAGAGAAGAATGTAACAGAGCAACTACAAAACAGCCAAAAACAATTAAGAAAATGGCAGTAAGTATATATCTATCAATAATTTAAGTGGACTAAATTATCTAATAAAAAGAAAGGGTAGCTGAATGTATTAAAAAAAATGAAGACCTATCTATGTGCTGACTACAAGGGACACAATTCAGATGTGAGGACACAAAATGAAAGTGAAGGAATGGAAGAATATATCCAATGCAAGTGCAAACCAAAAGTAACCTGGATAGCTATCCTTAGACAAAATAGACTTTAAGACAAAGACTATAATGATCTAAAGAAGGGTGATTCATAGTGATAAAGAGTTCAATCCAAAAATAAGATATAATGTTTTATATATATATATATATATATATATATATATATATAACTGGTACAGTGGCAATAAATAAAGCAAATATTAACAGACCTACAAGAAGAAATATGAGGATAAGGATAGTAGGGGACTTTAATATCCAGCTTACAACAATGAATAGATCATCAAAACAGAAACAAGGCAAAATAGTTGTCTGAGGAGGCCTTACAAATACCTAAGAAAAGAAGCAAAAGGCAAAGCAGGAAAGGAAATGTATTACCCACCCGAATGCACAGCTCCAAAGAAAACCAAGGAGAGATAAGAAAGCCTCCTAAATGAACAATGCAAATAGAGAGAGAAAAGCTATAGAATGGGAAAGATTAGTAGATCTCTTCAAGAAAATCAGAGATACCAAGGGAACGTTTCATGCAAAGATGTGCACAATAAGGACAGTAATGGTGTGGACCTCACAGAAGCAGAAGATATTAAGAAGAGGTGCCAAGAATACATAGAAGAACTATACAAAAAGCCTCAATGACCCAGGTAACCCAATGATGTGATCACTCACCTACAGCCAGACACCCTGAAGTGTGAAGTCAAGTGGGCCTTTGAAAGCATCACTATGAACAAAGCTAGTGGAGGTGATGGAATTCCAGCTGAGCTATTTCAAATCCTAAAAGATGATGCTGGTAAAGTGCTGCACTCAACAGGTCAGCAAATTTGGAAAACTCGGCAGTGGCCACAGGACCGGAAAAGGCCGGTTTTCGTTCCAATCCCAAAGAAGAGCAATGCCAAAGAATGTTCAAACTACTGCACAGCTGTGCTCATTTCACATGCTAGCAAAGTAATGTTCAAAATCCTTCAAGCTAGACTTCAACAGTACGTGAACCAAGAACTTCCAGATGTACAAGCTGGATTTAGAAAAGGCAGAGGAAACAGAGATCAAAAAGCCAACATCAGTTGGATCACTGAAAAAGCAATGGAATTCCAGAAAAAATCATCTACTTGTGCTTCATTGAGTAGTCTAAAGCCTTGACTGTGTAGATCACAATAAAATGTGGAAAATTCTTTAAAAGATGGGAATACCAATGATGTAAAGTAATTAGCCTCCAACTAATAAAAATAAATGAAAAAAAAAAAAGATGGGAATACCAGATTGCCTTACCTGCCTCCTGAGAAACCTGTATGCAGGTCAAGAAGCAACAGTTAGAACCAGACTTGGAACAACAGACTGGTTCAAAATTGGGAAAGGAGTACGTTAAGGCTGTATATTTTTACCCTGCTTATTTAACCTATATGCAGAGTACATCATGTGAAAGGCTGGGCTGGATGAAGCTCAAGCTGGAATCAAAATTTACGGGAGAAATATCAGTAGCCTCAGATATGCAGAAGACACGACCCTAATGGCAGAAAGCAAAGATGAACTAGAGTCGCATGATGAAGGTGAAATAGGAGAGTGAAAAAGCTGGCTTAAAACTCAACATTCAAAACACTAAGATCATGGCATCTGGTCCCATCACTTCATGGCAAATAGATGGGGAAACAATGGAAAGAGTGACAGACTTTATTTTCTTGGGCTCCAAAAACATTGTGGATGGTGACTGCAGCCTCAAAAGATGCTTGCTCCATGGAAGAAAAGCCATGATAAACCTAGACAGTGTATTAACAAGCAGAGACATCATTGTGCCAACTAAGGTCCTCAGTGAAAGCTATGGTTTTTCTAGTAGTCATGTATGGATGTGATAGTTGGACCATAAAGAAGGCTGAGTTCCAAAGAATTGACACTTTTGAACTGTGTTGTTGGAGAAGTCTCTTGAGAGTCCCTTGGACAGAAAGAGATCAAAGCAGTCAATTCTAAAGGAAATCAACTCTGAATATTCATTGGAAGGACTGATCCTGAAGCTGAAGCTCCAACAGTTTGGCCACCTGATGTGAAGAACCGACTCTTTGGAAAAGACCTTGATGCTGGGAAAGATTGTGGGCAGGAGGAGAAGGTGGCAACAGAAAATGAGACAGTTGGATGGCATCACCGACTCAATGGACATGAATTTGAGCAAACTCTAGGAGGTAGTGAAGGACAGGGAAGCCTGGCGTGCTACAGTCCATGGGGTTGCAATAAGTCAGACTCAACTGAGCGACTGAACAACAGCAACAATAAGAAAGCACCAGAAATAGAAAAATCACTTTTATAATTGTATCAAAATGAATAAATACTTAGGAGTAAACTTAACCAAGAAGTTTAAGGACTTGTAAATTGAAAACAATAGACATTCCATTTCAAAACTGTGAAGCGTTTGGTAAAAGCACAGGCAGTGGTTCACTCACTGTGATTCCCAGACCAGCAGCATCAGCAACATCTGGAAACTTCCTAGGAATGCAAGTTCTCAGGCCCCACTATAGACCAAGTGAGTCAGAAACTCTGGGGCTGAGGCCCTGAACTCTTTACCAGCCCTCCCAGAGAGTCTGAGGCAGGGTAAAGCTTGAGAACCACTGTACAATTCATTTATGCGGCTTATTTATTGTTTAAATAATCAGCATTAGCCTACAGAGGTGTATAGTAGCCCTGACATATACAACCTAGAAATTTTCTTAAATCAGATTTTTCTATCTTTCAAAGATTCTCTCTGTATATTTGCAATCCAGAAAAACTCTTTGGTAAATTCTGCAGCAGTTTTTTAAGGGAAAAAAAAAGTCATTGACATAGCATATGTATAGGTAGTTCTAAATGTGCAATAGCTTCGTGAAATCTACTTTGAGAATTTTCAATAAAAATTTTCAGATGGCAACAGTCCTCTCATGTTTTCTTATCTTCAATTTGAAGTGTTGCGAATGATACAAATACTCTTTAAGAGTACTGTCACTCCTGGAAATAGTAAAGCTGATTCCCTTTGAGCCACTTACTTACTTAGCACCAACATGGCACCAGGCACTGTACTAGGTACTAGGTAGCAAATTTGAAAAGATCTAGTTCTGACCTCACAAATGTCACCCCCTAGAGAGGTACTAGATACAAATGCAGGAGGACAAAAATGAATACATAAAAGCTGATGAGTGTTCCCAGGCTTCTCCTTCAGCTAACTAAAGAGAATTCAGGCCTATCTGTCATTTTCCATCCCTGGCCTTCTGAATTTTTGATCCTGTTGTGAATGGACCAGACTCTGCAAGGAGACAGGTGTAAATCAAAAGTATGGTGGGTCAAAAGGCAGATGGAATGCTGCTGAGAGCAACTAAACCTGTGTGCCACAACTATTGAACCTGTGCTCTTGAATCCAGGAGCTGCAACTACTGAAGCCCATGTACCTAGAGCCCATGCTCCACAACAAGAGAAGCCACTGCAATGAGAAGCTTGCACACCACAACTAGAGAGTAGCCCCTGCTCGCTGCAACTAAAGAAAAGCCTGAGGAGCAATGAAGACCCAGCACAGCACAAAATGAGTAAAATTATTTTTTAAAGGCAGATGGAAAATAAGGAAATTAGAAAAAATAAATTGTTGTGTCACTACATAACAACACTTGCTAAAGACACATTTCCATCACAATAAAGAATTTCTGTGAACTTTTTTGAAAATCTGTGATATGGTTCACCAAGTTTTATTTCATTTTCTTCTTTCTGGGTATATACAAAGACCACATTTCCCAGTCTCCCTTGAACTCTGATCACAATCATGTGATGAGTTCTGGCCAATGGATTTGGAGTCAGCAATTTTATGCTTCCAATATGACACACACGCACACACACAAATGGCATTTTTTTTTCACTCTTTCCCCTCCTTTGTACAACCCGGAAGTAGTATCTTCTGGGATGTGGATGCTACAAAATAGTGGAAGTACCAATAGCTTGGGACCATAGGAACAGAGATCTACCCACTCCTTTGCAGAGGATGAGAGAAAGGGATAGATGAGAACGGAAGATTTTTAAGGAGCTTTGCTTTTGCTAATTATTCTTTTCACAGTGGTCAAAAGATGCAAGTAAAAGTTTGGGTTGTTCTGAAATTACCTTTTGGCTGCTAATTTTTGCTTTTTTAATGCACCATTACTCAGAGTCCAAACATCATGATTCTGGCATTATACGTTACCAAAATAAAACAGTTGTTAAAATGGGGCTATGGACAAGTGCCCTGGAAACATGGAGGAAAAGGACGCCAAGCCTGGAAAGGCTAAACTGGACGCCTGCCCTCTTAATAAGACCAAAGATTGCTTAAGGCCCTTTTTGTATTCTGTCCCCGTTCCAGCCCTCTCCAACCAAGGGAAAAATAAACACGAAGCAAAAACACCTGGAGGGGGAAAGAACCCTGGTGATTACCCTCTGCATCATATATTTGGATAAGCAGCCACATGCCAAGTAACATGGTAATAATACTCCCAGAATAAAAGTACTGAAACATTGCCTGGAATCAAGACTCAATAGACAGAAATCAGAGACCTGATCCGAAAAAAGTACATTTATAGGTAATAACATTTAAGAAGAGAACTTCCCCCTACCTGAGCTGCAGGGCCAGGGCTGGAGGCATCACCTTTGCTCCTATCCTGCCGATGAGGGTTGGGAACACCCCTACCAGCTCCACTACAGTGATGTGTCGAAGATCCAGGCCACATTGTGCTTGCTGGAAAAAAAAAATCCAAACAGGGGGTGTAAGTGTAGCTAAAGAAAATCCATGTCAAACTATAGAGTGACAGAAGCAGCACTGTTCTGTTTGGGGAAGTTTCTCTGCCCATTCCATACTGTCCTGAAGATAGTTGAGAAACTGGGGTTAAACTAATGGCTATAAAACCAAATACCTTCCTAGAGGAATCATTCAGAAATGACTTGGCAATGAGATTTTGAAAACCTAAGCAAAATGGCAATGTATGTATTTCGAGATGGGGTGAGACTCTGCATGAGCCAAATTTCCTAACAAGTATCAAAGACCACCTCCAGAGGATTTTCATTTGTATTTGCAAGGACAAAAGATTACTTCTAGTGTCCCCTTATCTGCCCATTCTTCCACCCCTCACAGTCACCAGCCCAAAGAGCCCCCTTCCCCCTGGCAACTAACATGGTGAAAAAACTAGGATAAGACATTCCAACCCTCATCTAATGCCATGCTTTCTTTCTTTTTTTTTTAACAAATGGTGACCTGGGTTTGGTGGTTGCCACCCAATTCCCAGGTGGCACTAGTGGTAAAGAACCCACCTGCCAATGCACGTAGACCTAAGAGACAGAGATACAGGTTTGATCCCTGGGTTGAGGAGATACCCTAGAGGAATGCTTGGCTACCCACTCCAGTATTCTTGCCTGGGAAATTGCATGGACAGAGGAGCCTGGTGAGCTACAGTCCATGGGGTTGCAAAGAGTCACACACAACTGAAGTGACCTAACACATATGCACACCTGCACGCAGTGGACACCACTTGATGATCTGGCTCTGGTGGCTGGAAGGGATTACAATGCTGGGTCACACGTGACTGTAATAGTTTTTGTTGGGATACCACCTCCAGGTCATTGCAGACAGCAAACTGAAATACACCCCCAGTTTCTGTGAAAGAGGTCTCATTTTTTTCTCCTGGATCTTCAGCCTTAAGGACAAGTTTCAGGCTTGGCACACATCTTGAGACCTACAGAGAGGCTCTCAGGGAATACAGACCAGGGATGCCATTTTTGTGCTCTCCCTCTGGACAGTCCCCCTGCTATGCCGAGGCAGGGGAGGTGATACATAGCCTCACCCATTACAGACCGAGGCTCCTGTCCCTTCCAGACCAGAAAGCCTATCTGGGAAAATTTGAGAGTTGCCTGAAGTGGGCCCTCCCAGTGCCACCCAGGCATGGCCCGGGTCATTGCCCTACCCACTGTGGAGTGTGGCCCCCAGCTAACAGGAAGAGTTGGTGAGAATACCGAGAAGCTGTACAACGCACCAACTTTTAACTGAGAGGCAGGTGAGCAGAGCTGATGGCAGCCAGAGCAAAGAAAGTGGCCCTGTCCAGCCAGGGAGCTCGATGCATGAGTCAGCTTCAGTCAAGGTCACAAACTAAGAACATCCGTGGCATTGAAGGTGCTTTTCCCACTGTGCCCAGGAATGGAAAACCATTCACAACCTCACTTACAACTGAATACTCCCTTCAGACCACCTGACCAAGGAACTGAAGCCTAACACACAGGAAGCTGCATCACCCATCCAACAGCCCTACTTATGGTGCATTTGAACAGAGCACAGACTGTAGCTTCCTCTGTTTGCAGAGCAAAACCGGTGTCCTCACCTAGGCAAAATATTCAGTGCACACTCTTGTTTGACTTGGGTCCCCAGACCATGAGCCATGCCAACTCTGGGTCCCTTCCTGCTGCTTTGCCAGAGGAGGGAAGCTAATTCATAGCCACACCTACAGCTGGGCATATTACCCCATCTAAAGCATCTAGTAAGCCTGAGGAGAATCTAGAATTCATGAAGCACATCCTACAGCAGCATTTGGGCAGGGAACCAAGATGGCAGACCTACCCAGCTGTTCCCAGTCAATGGCACACCCCCGCCACCAAGCTCAGAGCTTGAACAGATGCTTCAGCCAAACAGACCCTAGTAGCAAGCCCCACCTTCCCAAGGCCGTTACCAGCAGATAGGTCCAGAAACCTAACAGAGCTGACTGGTGAGGAATTGTCTCTGCCAAAGTAAACCTGAACTGTCTGGAAAAGGAGATCACTTACTCAAATGAACAGATACCGATAAAAAGAATCAAGGATCATGAAAAAGCAAGTATGTCTGATACCACCAAATGTAATTAATAAAGGGTCAATAACTGATCCTAAGAAATTAGATAGCTATGAACTTTCAAAGAATTCAGAATAATTCTCTTAAAGAGGTTTTGTGAGCTATAAGAACAGACAACTAAATGGAATTAGGAAAATGGAGAACTGTATGGAAGCTCTCAAAAAAATATAGGAATAAAAAGTCTACAAATAATAAATGCTAAAGAGAGTGTGGAGAAAATGGAACCTTCCTACACTGTTGGTGGGAATTTAAATTGGTACAGGGATTATGGAGAAAAGTGTGGAGGTTTCTTAAAAAACTAAAACTAGTGATACTCCTGGGCATACATCCAAAGAAAAACATGGTTTAAAAGGATACACACACCACAATGTTCATTGCAGCACTGTCTACAATATCCAAGACATGGAAGTAACCTAAATGTCCACTGATGAATGGATAAAGAAGATGTGGTACATATATACAATGGAATATTATTCAGGCATAAAAAGAATGAAATAATGCCATTTGCAGAAACATGGATGGACCTGGAGTTCATCATAGTAAGTCAGAAAGAGAAAGACAAATACATGACATCACTCATATGCAGAATCTTAAAAAATGACACAAATGAACTTAATATACAAAGCAGAAGCAGACTCAGAGAATGAATTTATGGTTATCAGGGTGAAGGGTGGGGAGAGGAGAGAGTGGGTGGTTGACAGGTACACGCTGCTATGTTTAAAATATATAATCAACAAGAACCTATTGTATAGCCCAGGGAACTCTGCTCAATTTTTTGTAATAACCTAAGTGGAAAAAAAAATTTGAAAAAGAGTAGATACATGTATATGTATATGTATATATATAACTGAATTACTTTGTTATACATCTGAAACTAACATTGTTAATCAACTATAATCCAATATAAAACAATTTTTTAAGGATACAGAAACTTAGTTTAAAAAATACCTAACATGGTAAAAATAACTAACATTACAATAATCTGAGGTATACAATATTAAAGTTATAAAGTATATAATATTAAAAACTATGTCAATTGTAACATCAATAACCTAAAATGGGAAGAGCGTATAATTTAAAGTATAAAGCTTAGGACTTGATTGAAATTAAGTTGGTATTAGTTTAAAATAGTGTGTTATAATTTTAAGTTTTTTTTTTTTAATGTAAGCCTCATGGTAACAGCTTTCCAGGTGGTGCTAGTGGTAAAGAACCTGCCTGCCAATGCAGGAGATGTAAGAGATGTGGGTTCAATCCCTGGGTTGGAAATATCCCCTAAAGGAGGACAAGGAACCCACTCCAGTATTTTTGTCTGGAGAATCACATGGACAGAGGAGCCTGATGGGCTATAGTCTATAGGGTCACAAAGAATCGGACATGACCGAAGTGACTTAAAATGCATCCTCATATGGTAACAAGAAGGGAAAAACTTGAATTACAAAAAAGTATGATAAAGTCAAAGCATACTAATAGCACACAATATCAAAACACAATTGAAAAGAAGAAACAGCTGATCTATAAAACAACCAGAAAACAATAACAAAATGGCAGTATCTCATTTATCAATAATAACTTTAAGTGTAAATAGAGCCAGTTCTCCAAATGAGAATGGATTTTTATAAAAGATCCAATGATATGCTCATTGCAAGAATCATTTTGGCCTTCAAGACATACAAAGGCAATGTAAAGGGATGGAAAAATATCTTAAGCAAACAACCCAAAAAAGTCAGGAGTAGTTATATCAAACAAAATAGGCTTTAATTTTAAAAATGGTAAAAGGAAACAAAGAAGGTCATTATATAATGATGATAGGATCAATATATCAAAAAGTTATAATGGTCATATTTATGTGCCCAACGTTGGAAAAACTGAACTTCATAAAGCAAAAACTGATGGACCTAAAAGAAGAAATAAACAGGACTTTAATACCCCACTCTCAACAATGGATAGGTCATCTAGACAGAATCAATAAAGAAACAGCAAATTTGAACAACTCTATAGACCAAAAGGGGCTTCCCAGCTGGCACTAGTGATAACGAACTCATCTGCCAATGCAGGAGACATAACAGACATGGGTTTGATGCCTGGTCAGGAAGATCCCCTGGAAGAGGGCATGGCAACCCACTTCAGTATTCTTGGCTGGAGAATCCCATGGACAGAGGATCCTGGCAGGCTATAGTCCATAGGTTCAAAAGGAGTCAGACATGACTGAAGCGAGTTAGCAGGCATAGACCAAATATATCAAACAGACATACACAGAATAGTCTATCCAACATCAGCAGAATACACATTCTTCTCAAGTGCACATGAAACATTTTCTAGAACAGACCAGGTATGTTGCTGCTGCTGCTGCTAAGTCACTTCAGTCGTATCTGACTCTGTGCAATCCCCATGGACAGCAGCCCACCAGGCTCCTCTGTCCACAGGATTCTCCAGGCAAGAATACTGGAGTGGGTTGCCATTTCCTTCTCCAATGCATGCATGCATGCTAAGTCACTTCAGTTGTGTCCAACTCTGTGCAACCCCATGGACAGCAGCCCACCAGGCTCCTCTGTCCACAGGATTCTCCAGGCAAAAATACTGGAGTGGGTTGCCATTTCCTTCTCCAGACCATATGTTAGGCCACTAAATAAACAAGTGTTAGAAAATATAAGAAGGCTGAAATTATACCAAGTATCTTCTCTGACCACAATGGTACAAAATAAGAAATCAATAACAAGAGGAAACTGAAAATTCATGAATACATGGAAATTAAACAACACTCTCCTGAATAACATATGGATCAGGAAGAAATTAAAGGGGAAATAAAGTATCTTGACACAAAAATGGAGACAACATACGAAAACTTAAGTGCACAACAATAAAAATCA